ATACGGAATGGACAGCGACAAGAGGAGAAAAAGGCTAAGCTGTGGATATGGGACGGCCAACTGTTCTGCTAACAGCCTCTTAACAGGTGTGGGCTCTGGAACCATGTAATCCTATCAAGTTACCAAGTAAAAAAAAAGAAAAAAAAGAAAGGAATCCAGCAAACTGGGCTTTGCCTCTCTCTCTCTCTCTCTCTCTCTCTCTCTCTCTGTCTCCGTTGGCAGTGACAGAAGTGAACAGCTGGGCTTCAGATTCATCGTGTACGGGCAGTAATTATTGCCGGTGCTGCCTGCTACTGACCCAAGTCAATAGAATGTCACATGAAAAAACACACGGCGGAATAGGGGGGACCTGAGGCTGAGGGGGGCCGGGGTGCGTGTCTGCCTGTGTGTGTGTGTGTGTGTCTGTGTGTGTGACACACAGGAGAAAGAGGAGGACAGTGTTTAAAAGTCACTACGTTCCTGTTTGCAGTCAATTACGGACGGGGACGGGGACGGGGGGGGGGTGTTGGCTCCGTAACCCGGCAGAGCAAACATTTTCCTGCACACGGAGATGGTTGACAGAAAAAATTGCTTCTGTTTGTTTGTACTGATTTTTTCTTTTCTTCTTTCGGATCAAAATGAAAGCCACAGTCGGTACGACAAGCACCTTAATCCCGTCAAAGCAAAGCTGGTAGAGTATTGAAACTTAAGAGATGTGCTCAATGATAAAAAATGAATGAAAAAAAAAAGCAGCAGTAGAGTGAGACAACGGATTTAGCTCAACACCGTCCCGCCTTTGACCTTACATGTATGATTAACTAAACTAACCAAGGTATTGATGAATTATAAAAAAAAACAGATGTTGGACCACACAAAGTGTTTCCGTCATTGTACCAAGGCTGACCCCACCTGCTGTATTTGTTCTAGAGAGATAAAAGTGTCTCTGATAAACTATCAATTTATTACCTGTGTCAATCACTGTCCTTGTCATTAAATAGTTAACCCTGCATCTGCTGCTGCTGCTTCTTCTTCCACACATTCAGCTGTGTGAAAGTATTCCATACCGACGAACCTACGCGCGTAACGGTTCACACCTTATAGACCCTCCGCCACATTTAAAAGGATTAGTCACCACATTTTGTGCTGGCTTAATCTCTCTTTCAGCTGGCCTAATAAGTGCGCTTCGATAAACTAAGCATGCAAATTCATTCATGGCCAGTGGAGACCGTGCTTTCAGACAAATGCGACAAAGTCTTCCACCCTGCTAATTACCTCTTCATTTTCCCCTTTTCCTCTCTTATACAGCATGTCAATGACTAGAGACTATTCTTCCCCCTTACTTTGCATGAAATTATAATTTCATATTTAAGATTAGGAAATCGGGACAGGGAGGGAAAAAAGGTGAAGGGAGCTTTTCTCTTGAATCTCACAAGAATACATGACATGGCATATACAGCTGTGAGATTTAAAAAAAAGGATTTATTTTTGGCTGTTAACGCTGAGAGAATTCGAAAAAAAGAAACAAAGGAAAATTCCCAGAAAATAATACATAATTAAAACTTTTTTTTTCTAATTAATGACATCATTTATAATTCATTGCCATTCTTTATAAGATAGTATAATTAAAAAGGATACCTCACCGTTCTCATTTCCCCCCCTTTTTTTTAAGTAGTCTAGTTTAACAAACATGCATTATCTTTGATAGTTAAAACTTGGCCCGTTATATTTTAGATGATAAAGGCAATGAAGACCCAAGGTGCAACCTGTTTATCATTCTGGAATATTTCTTCACCGAGTATTAATTAGGCCATTACTCCAGATTGGTGACGGGGAGCTTTGAGGTTTTAATTAGGTGCTGGCCACTGCATGAGTGCACAGGATGGAAGAAAGGGGGTGGCGATGCCACTTCGCTCCCGGCCCATATCAAGTAGCCATGAACACGTTGGCTACCGCGGCGAGATGCATGGCAGCCCACGTGCATCTGGAGTTTATTTGATTGTTTCATCTCTCGTGTTTCCTGTTTCTGCCCGTAAAAAAAAAAGAAAAAAAGAAAAAGCCAGTTGGTGTGATTTGGGTATTATAAGATGGGGGTTAAGGTAATTATGGTGTTGGGTGGCTTGTGTCTGATGACTGGGCACATGCTCAACCAGGACTCAGCTGTCCCACTCTTTCTGTCTACCCCCCAATACACACACACACACACACACACACACACACACACACACACACACACACACACACACACACACACACACAGACCTCCCAATGTCTGCGGTCTGTATTTCCCCTTCTCTCCCCCTGCCACTCCGCTAGAACAAGGCATAACACACACAGCCTCACGTAACATCAATCACATGCTGAAAGCGGACCAAAAACTACACAAACATATACACTGCCATCAACTACTGGATTTGACACTTATTTAAAAGTTCTTGTCGGATGTGGTGTAAAATCAGAAAAACACATTTAAACATAAAAAATGAATAATTTAACAAAAGAAAAATAGAGGAAATGATGGGAGAGGCTTTGTTTTGAATTACATTTTTCAAATATTCCAATAAAATGTGTCTATTTTGACAATTAAAAAAAAAACATTTCATGGAAATATCCATTTCTTTTTAAACACTCAATTCATACAAACTCAAGGAGCGTGATGTGAACTGCATCAGAGTGTTCAGCATGCGTATGTAAGTGAAAACAAAAATCATATTTTGGTGTCATCTGAACAAGGTGTTTGAAAAATAAATCTTGAGAATGTGAGTGTTTTTCCTCGGTTGACAAGGCGATACTAATCACCTCGTTGCTGAGAAGCACTCTTCCCTGACAAGGCTCCTTAGAATACAAGCGTCCCCCAGGAGAAATCGGCATGAAAGAGGTTAAAGACAATGACTCGCATTTTTTTTCCTCCAAATGTCTCCCTGTTAAATTTATTTCAAAACTCTGTTAATCTGCTGTACACAACATTTCCATTAGCATAGCCCAGCCCCCTAATAAAAAATCTGGCTGGTTTAATTAAAAAATGTAAATTTACTGTCAACCGAGGAGCAGCAGAAATAAGAGTGCAACAGCATATTTTATTGCTTAAGACATCAAATTGATTCAGGTTATTGCTAAATTGTGATAAAAGGTTATTGAAGGCCTTCAGAACTGGGCTTGTTTTTTCATCCTGGTTTTGTGGAAGGCCGTAAAAGATGGAGAGGGCCACAAAGGGTTAATGAGACAACTCAGCGAGGGAGCAGGCGATCAACATTACGACTCATATGAGGGTAGAAAAACATTTTCTGTGCTGACCAAAAGTTTGAAATTAGTGTGTGTCACAATTACAGTTTTACTTGTTTGTTGTCATTTGAAGCTATAATGCAGGTCACCTTAAATAACCTGACATTATAACCGAGCCTTCTTGTCAGTGGTCACAGTGGTCTGCTACACAGTCTCTCAGAGTTTTTTGTAATTAGAAACGATATCTTTAGATGGGATTTTTTTTTTTTAATTCTGCCATATACAAGTTACAGAGGAGAAACGCCTTTTGTGGTGTCAAGAGTGAAAAACTAAATAATCTTTAAAGAGGATTCAAATAAAATACAGAATGAGTACACAACTGGCACACAAACGTATTCGAAAGAACTGCCTAGAGCATAACCTGCTTGAGTGAAGTTGTAATTACAGATTTTCTTTTTCGAAAAATGTCAAAACACCTCAAATAAAAGAATTCTCACCATAAAAAAATTCGAGTGTCCATTCTTGAATTTAAAACAGTGATTCCTATTTTAAACTCATTTTGAAATGATCAGCTTACTCAGATTTTGCCCAAAATCTTTACTAAATATTCTTGACTTTTAAAGCGTTTCAAAATTAGGCCAGATAAGATTTATCAAATTCAAAAGGAACCGATAATGTCTCTTAAAAGTTTAGTCATTGACTAGTTAGTATTTGACTGTAGTGCAAATAATGAAATACAGAGGGACTGTCAACACACACACGCATAAAAGGAAGACACCCCTCAGTGCATGGAAACAGAGAACACGCACACAGAAAGACTGACTAAATGTAAGTGTGAAGTATGACTTATTTTAAAACACACACACGAAAGCCTTATTACAAGTAAAGTGGCGAGCAGAGTGGAGCTTATATAAGTATACGGTTCAATCCAGTCATAGCAGGACAAGTTCCTCCCCTCAGAAGTCCGCACAGTAACTAGTTATTAACCTGACAGTTACAGGTATAATGAAAATTAAAATCATCTGCCCCACAGGTGCAATTGCACCAAAAATACTAATCAATGAGGAAAAATATTTTTCTCATTTTAAATAAACGTAGTGATTTGTTGTAATTTGATCAAACATGTAATGCATTTGATGTATCATTCGGTTTACATTTTTACGTAACAATCCCAAATGCACTGCGTATGAGCTGATTAGAAGTACCTGGAAAGGTGTTGGCCCTGCTCCCGTACCCTTTACATGTGTAACAACAAGAGCAACACAACAGTTTGTTTGCTTTGTCCCCTTGGTAACAAACCCTTAGGCCATTCTATGTACTCTAACAGCATTACCCGTGTCTTTGTGGGTAAAACCGATACCTGTATTTCTACACTACCAATAGTAGCTCCTTCAAAAACATGTAATTAACTGAACAAGCAGGAAAACAAGGACGAGAGAGACAGAACTGCCTGACAGGGACTTTTTGCTGCTCTCGCGTCCCAGAAAAGAAATAGACTCTGACGAGAGAAAATGAAACTGGCTGTGTGAACTTTCTTCTCATGTGCACTGCGTGTTACACAGCGTCTTGAGTTGTTTGTTTGGAGAATGGGCATCGCACTTGATATTGCAGTCACCTTTGGGCACTGTCAGAGAGCTATAAATAAGGGTGTCGCAACACTTGGGTTTACGTACGCTCGGGCACATAGTTTAATCACGAATAACTTCCCCTCCCCGTGTATTCAGTCAGAGATAAAGGCGCACCTTAAACTGTCAGCTAATAAAACATATCTAGCAAAGATAGAAAAGAAGAAGAGTACTCACCATATTCAGGGAAGTCGAAGTTAAATCCTCTCAGACATGTAACTTTCATAATATTACTCAACTCTGTCAGAAAGTCATTCGAATGTTGGTTGGTGGAGGGGGAAATAGAGCGGAAAAGTAACTACATAAAAAAAGGCTTCCTTCAATCATGCACTAAACTCCTTGACATGTAATCTGTCAATAGTTTGTTGCTGAGATAATGCCGGCTGCCATGAGCGGATTTGATTGGCAGCTTAGGGTCTGGCCCCTCCTTCCTGTGGTTTGACGGGGGGTAGGTGAAAGAATATAGAGCCTCCCCCTTTCCCTGCACGCTCTCTCTCTCTCTCTCTCTCTCCGTCGTGCTCTCTCTCTGCCTCTCGCTCGCTCTCTGCTCTCCCCCCACACACACACACACACACACACCCTCACACACGCAGGCACAGACCAAGCTGTTGGGGATGTTGTCTGAATAGGCTGATAGGAAATTATGGCAGAGGAACCGGAGCAGTTTTTTTCTCCCTCCCTCAGTGGGCTGGCCTTTTCCATCTTTGTGGTCTTCTAGCCTTTCAACTCTCTTGGGGTGGAGCCTCTACTGCCTCTATTCAAATGAAGGGAGCACAGCAAAAAAAAGCCTTTTGGTAGGAGGAGAGAACGCGTTTGATAAACTGTATTATACTTTTGTCGCACACACGTATGCAAGGCTTTTGTGTTCATTGTTTAAATGTGTTATACCGTTTTTTTACCCCTACTATTGTGTAAAAAGACATGTTTACAATTTTATGAGCTAAATTCGAAGGGACGCTACTACATATGATCTACATGCTTGTCCTTTAATGTGTCTTATCAGGAGCATCAAGAGGTAAAGAATATAAGATGTTACTTTAACGCTTGAAGCCAATAACTCTTTCACGTCTCTCCCATCGCAGGGATCCTCTCTGTTTCCGCGCCATACAGCGTACTTTCGCTGCCTCTCTCCCTCAGAGCTCTCTCCTTCTCCTTCCCCTCCCTCTGATAAGCTATCAGTTTTCATTGTAATTTCAGGTGAAATGATAAACGACAGCCGTTACCAGGTGGCAATGAATACTTTATAAGACAAACCCCTTATTTGCCTGGCAGTTTCTTCCGCAGTGGCATGCAAAGTGCCTCTGGACCATTTCGACATAATGGTCCATATACTGTAAACATGACTCTGTATGTCAAGAATGCAGAATTTACGCAGTGACACCAAATAGCTAAAAATGCCAGACTTTGAAAGGTCACTTGGTATTCCTGTTTGCCACAGCAGTTGCATTTTGAATAAAGGTGATGTATAACTAGCATTTACTGGTTATAGAAAAGAGGAAATGAACTACTTTATGGCTGTGAACTATAATGCAATGATACATGGTCCTGGCTTCAGTTCCTGAGTGCTGTCAGCAAAGTCCAAAGTATGTACATAAAACAGCTTTTGGTTGATTCAGACTTCATACCGGTTAAGACCTGAAAAAGGCTTTGTCTCCCCCTTCGTAACTTGCATAAAGAGAAGTGTTTCTATCAAAAAGCTTCACCCTTGATCTGACATTGAACTGTAAATAAAACTATAGTGTTGTTAGCCGGACAGCCAGGCGTTTTCTGTAGTTTTTTAAAACATTGTACTTTCTTAATTTGTGTTCTGGCTCTGTACCCTCACGGTTGAATGCACATATTGTAAGTCGCTTTGAATAAAAGCGTCAGCTAGACATGTAATGTAATGCAACCGCTAAACGCAGGAAGTACAGCTGAGAATAAATTACCAACTTTGTGGAGGTGTAAATCAACAGACTTGTTGTGTCATTGCCCCATCTACTTTTGAAACTGAGAAGATCAGACTACAAAGAATATTCTGCTAAGTAAATGCGCTGCTTGGATGTATTCTTATAGAATAGAATAGGTTTTCTTCACCCTGTTAGAGAAATGATGGTTTCAGCTGCAACCTGGTGCTGTGAAACCACCTCCAGGCCAAATATAAAAATATCAAAAACATACAAAATCTACTTTCATATCGTATAATCACGCACAGTACACGTAAAGCTACGAGTCTACGTAACTGTTAGGGCTCACGAGGCTGACGCGCATCAGTGAGTATCTGATATGAACATATAAGTAAGAGAATATAGACCGAGTTATTGTGGTTATGTAAATGTGATTTATTGTGCTGATAGATTGCTGCTAGGCCAACCCATCGGCATAGGTGCGCTGCATGCAGGAGAACAAAGTGTTTTCTTTTCGAACTCCGACTCTGACACAGACAATATAACATTAGAGCAGCATAATTCTTTTGACATTAGAACTAGCTCTTAAAGCCCTACCTGCAACTCTTTGGATTGTTATTGGCTTTCTTTTTTTGTTCCCAAGTCCGTTTCACACAGAATAAGGGAGGGTACTTTAACACATGTAATTATACTTGGATCTAACATGCCCTACATGTACCAGTGATTATATAGGCCCAACAATTTACTCATTCATTCTGTGATTTGTTTCATGCTGTACTGTTTTTCATTGGCAGTTCAAACTGTATTGTTTTCACTCTGGACTTTAACATCTTGGCAGTTGTGTGACATTATCTAACGATCCGTGCATCGCGCTTTGATTGGTCAGTACGTGGCGCTTTCATACGAGTTGATACGGAACATAACATAACATAGGTGTGCAACTTAAGTTACTACTGCCATCTGCTCCTGTCAAAAGAGAACTACCGCCGTGGAACTAAAACAAAAAAAACGGCGTCAACACTGAAGTTACAGCAAACATGATCACAGTAGTTGTTGTATTAATCTGTTACTCTAACGTTGTGAAAAAGTCATAGTTGGTCAAGCTGCAAGGTAATAATAGTAAAAATAATACTTGAGCTATACTTTCTTCCACATAGGTACAGCATATCAATACAAATAACAAAAACCACTACAGTATATGTAACCTTGGTATTGGGGGAGGTTTCAGTTGACTGGGGAATTTTTTTCAATGTCCACAGGAGGGACAGCCCACTGGCCCTTTAGCTGCTGTCTTTGGGGCCGAAACCATTGCTTTTCCAAAGGAACTGTGGGGACTTTCGTTTGATGTGGCCTGCGGGTATTGTGTGGAGCACGCGGGAGAGTGTCGAGGGCAAGGTGGAGTGTGTACGCCCGTGAGAGTGTGTGTGCAGGCGTCCGTGCGCGTGACATGGCGGGGGTACATCAGTCAAAGGGCCGCCGGGGCCAGACGTTTGGCTGCCCCTGACAGTGCGCTCCAGGAGGGGCTGGTCTGGTGAAGGGCCCACTCCGAGTCCTCCGTTCCCCGGGACAAAAGCTACGGCCCGCTTGATAGATGTGAATTCAGCGGCTTTTGTGCCCAAAGCCCAGAGACATGCCGAGTGAGAAATCTGACCTTTGCCGAGAGTCAGATTGTGTTTTTGAACCCCTCTTGCAGTCGCTGGCAGTTAGGGGAGTGAGCGGGGGGGGTAAGGGGCGAGGGGGGGGCGTGGGTGGAGGTCTGTCCTCACTGGGGGAGTGGACAGGTGGGAGATTACACAGGACGTGCCGCACAAAGCACTTCCACCACAGAGCAAACTTTAAACTCGACTAATTAAAATAGTGAGTGTTTTTCAGTAGACAATTGATGAAGTTTGCTCTTGATATTCACTGGCATGTTGTTTCCAAATTGGCAGGAAATTGAACGTGTAAAAGCTTAATTCTGAAGCAGGGTATTTTAGAGTGGGATTCAACAAGAGTTCACCGCGGTGTGATTCTAGGTTGTCTGTGATGTGGTATATTATTCCCTCTCACGTCTGTTTATATTGCGATATATATTTATTTTTAAGCAGAGAAGGAGCTGAATATTAAACGTACACACAAATACAGCCGGGACAATGATGACGGCAGTACACCACTTCTTGACGATCATCATTTGCATTTCTCATGACAAAGATTCTTCAGAATCTCATTCAATTTTCATAATATGCTACGGAAATCAACTTGCAAAATGTCATAATAGGTACACACTCGATAGCAAAGAACAGTTTGTATGAGGTATAAGTTACATTTGCACATTAGTCAGCGTACTGCACTGCACTTCTTATATTCATGCCCTGTTACATGATATAACATGAATTATGATGTAGCATGTTGCTTGGCGGCGGTGTGCTGAGAGCAGAGATTTTGTAGATAGATAAGGCCTAGGTTTTTGAGTCATACATTTTTCTTGACACTGCTTTCATCCCCCGGCCGTAATCATCATATCTCCCCCACTGCTCTCCCGGATGCAGACATCCATAATGCAATCTTCCTAATTTTGATCCCTAGCAATCTGGTTTTTAAAAGGGAGGGGAAAAAAAGGGGACATATTTCTGAAGGCTTGCTCCGTAATCATTTTAGACAGATAGCCTTTCCCATCGCAGATGAGCAAATATTTGTAAACCAGCTATCTAATGGAAAATTAGAGTGAAATTAGAGTGAAATTCATGACAGTGAAATCCGATTATGAGTAATTCTATTATGCCATCTTAGCCCACACAGCATATTTTTGTAGAGTTTTTTCCATAAATACCTATGCCAGGGGTCCTGCTAATCAAATAAAATTGAAATTCATCTTCCCATTAAATTCAATTAGCCGCAATTTCTAAAGCCTAACAAAGATTTTAATTACTAAATTATAAAATTCTCCCTAGCCAAATTGGGGAGAAAAATAGCGCATACCCTGTATCTGAAAAACAAACCCATGAAAGGAAATTGTTGATCAAAAAAGATATCCAGGGGAAAATAACATTAGGGAGAGCACTGGGGCCTTTATTCAGCGAGTCTGGGTGGGGAGTGACGTGTGCCAAGCGCTAGGCTCCTGGGCCGGAGGAAATGAACTTAGCTGAGGTTCTCTCTGGCTCTAAATGTCTGCCCTCAGAGTTATTATGCTGTAATTGACTAATTGACACCTTAATTTCATTTATGGGGCTCCTGTGTTCATAAAGCAACCTCTGGGTGGGGCAGTGGTCTTGAGCGGAAGCAAGAAAGTCAACATCCAGGACACCAGGTAGGGCCTCAGGCCTTCGGCTCTGTGCTCGCCGGATGACGATTATGCGTTTGATAATGAAATGGTCAGGAGGAACATATTGACTTAGCAGAGGCTTAAGGAGCATCTTACTCATATGTTTAAATCCCTCTGATGCATGCTGATTGGTAATAATCATGCCTGTCCAGTCTTACAATCTGTCACTGCAGACATGAACGACCTCGTTCAGGGGTCAAAGGAGTTTTTTTCTTGGGAAGTAACGCTCTTAAACCCTCGAATGCGAAGGTTTTCGAGCTTCTTTAACTTCACAGGTGACCATGAGTGAATATTGCATTGCGGTTTTCCGGCTGCGTTCGAGCCACTGGGACCAGGAATTGTTGCTGGTCATGTTTAGTGGCGACCACACTGCTAATGGGACAGCTCCGGGGTCTCAGGTCAGCCACCAGGTCCATTTCCCAGCCACCCCCTGCTCCCCACCAGTGGGCCACT